CACTGAAATGAGCTAAATAAACCAAATGTAATTATGTAAAAACCATATCTGGAGCTGGGAAAGCAGTTACCTCCAGCACAACACAGCCCTGTGCCTCCACCATTTCCTCTCTTTATCTTTTGCTGTTCTCCCCATCAGTCCTTGCAAGAGTTTATGTGAAAATTACACTTTATACATTAAGCTGATGATCTGATTTATAATAGAGCTGATGGAAGTTGTATTTATACAATAGCTATCTGTCAGCATGTGAGTTATTATTTTGTGACCTCTACAATGACTGATAGCAAAGCAGAATTAAAAAGATGAAAAGATGAATTATCTGAACAGCTACAACGATTCTTTTTTTTTTTTCCTTTTTTTATAGAAAAGACATGTTGGGTTTTTTTTGACTGAGGGCTAAAATCCAAAGTCTCTCTTTTCAAGAGACTCAACAAAGCATTTCAATTAACCTGAGCCCTTTTCCAGGCAGTTTTAAAAGGAGGGGAAGCGAAGTTTTTGGTAGAAGCACAAGTATAGCACCATTTACTATGGGCATTTTATTCTATTCATAATTTTCATTCAAACTTCATGATTAAGACCATTTCCTTTCAAGAAAAGCTGCCTGGCTTGTTTGGTGCCTTATAGGGTTAAAAAAAGCCCCTTATGCGTCTCATGAAACATCCAAAGGAATTTGCCAGTCCAGAAATTCATCCTCACATGCATTACCAGCAGCTGTTGCAACAGACAAGGTGCCTGTTTTAACAGAGACAAAATAAGGATTTACTGGAGATTGCCCAGCTGGACTTGTCCTTCCTTATTCCAGTGTCTACCAGACACCAAGTGTCATTTATCAAGTCACACTTTCCATTCAAACCAGCTCCCACCTTAATCCACAGCCCAGTGCTTCCCCTCTCCTTCTCCCAGGGCTGAAAATTCTTCTTGGCACAAGCCAGCTGGCAGGAAGATGCAGGCATGGGCTTGATCAATACCTCCCACACACACACTTAGTGGTGGGAATGTCTCCTCATCCCCACCTACACTACCCTCCAGCTACAAAAAAAAAAAAAGCAGTAATGTGCATTTTCTTCTTTGCCAAGTAAAAAAGCAGCTGCACTGGTTGTGTGGACCTGAAAACCCCCTCCAAGGTGAAGACAGAGGGAGAACACAAATCTCTGCAGCACAGAAACTAGAGAAATGTGGGGTTTCCTCAGAGGGAACACATGAACACAAGCTGACCCTTCATATGCAAGCAGCCAAGTGAGACAAGATGCAGAACTTTTGCAGCATTAACAATTCAAGCAACTCTGCAGTGTTTGCATTCACTACACTTAAATGATTGATTTATGCACCAAGGATTTTTCAAGTGACTTCAGAGACTTGTGCAGCAAGTAAGATTCTTGCACATTAACACAGTAACAGCTCACCTACAACTACCTGCACACAAAACACGGAGAAAACCCCTGAATAACAGGAGGTACTGAAAGGAAATGTGTTTCTAACCATAGTTTAAAATACAAAAAAAGTTTCTAGGGATTTCTCCTGGAGGTTGTCAACAGCTCTATTAGTACCAGAGGCATAGCGTGATGCTGCTGAACCAGGAGAGAGCCATCAAGTGAAGATGCAGTGCTTGGCCTGATGCCTTCTTGTCATTCAGAAACGCTTTTCAGTGAATAAATGGTTTGTAAGCAAACACACCCAGAAGGCACAATCCTCCCCCAAAACAAGATTCTACAGAGTGACATCCTTAGCTTGCAGGGTTGTCCTGTCACTTGGATTTCTTCACTGAACACTTGAAACTTTCCAAAGTCATATACAAATCCTAAACCCACAAAATTATCACCTGCCAGTTTGCTTCTCGTCTCCCCTCTGGGCACAGCACCAACCCCTCAGCCAAATTTTGCCGTCACATTCATCCCTGCTTTCTTATGTCAGAGCTGAGGTCTTCTCACGCTCACTGGTAAAACGTGGGCTGTTCCATGTTCCAGGATTAAGGTTCCTTTTGCAGCTGCTGCATGCAAAAGAGACTGCAGTATCTTCCGAAGAAATAATTGTCCATCTGTTCCTCTCTGTTTCCCCTGCCCAGCTTCTTGCCTCTCTCCTGGTCTACAGGCTCAAAAGGAAAAACGCAGTGAAATAACAGCAACGTGGAAAGCTCAGGGCCAAGAGCAGCTACATTTGGAGGCTGTGTAATGGCTTAGGAAACAAACAGACCAAAGCTGTTCTTGGCTTTAGTAAAGAAGGCTTCACTCATGCTACCCAACAGGTACTCAAACCCAATGGGAACGGACTGAACCAGCAGTAGTGCAATTCTTGACTCATTCTATAGATCATTCAGTCTGTTAGCACAAGAAGGGCAGATAGTGAAAGATACAGACAGCAGATTACACGCCTACCAGCTCAACACTTACCTGTAAGGTGCTTCCACTCGAGGACCCACACGGAGCTCCCTGAAAGACCAGCTCTAAATGCTGGCAGAATTGTCTGGTACCCCCATCCTGAGTACACCATGCAGTACTCACCAGCCCTGATAAAAAGGCCAGCAAACACAGCTCCCACCAGCCCGACCAGAGAGATTAAACAGCACTACGCAGACACAGGTTACAGGCAGAACAGGGTTTTACTTTTCTTGTAATCCAGGATAAAGTAGAAAAGAAAATGTGATCATTAAGTGTAACAGATATGACATTTCAACCTGCACCTCCAGAATCCCAAACCAGTGATTCAGAAAGAACCTCCTCCCCAGCTCCAATGAATACAATCATACCAGCAAAGCCACGAGGCAATAGCTCCCAATCTTCACTTGTCAGATAGCTGCATCAAGGCTTTACAAGCACTAAGTTTAACAAACAGAGCAAGTGTCTCACATTCAGGTCGTCAGATTTCACAGGGTTTGAATACAACGTTCATTCTGAAACCAGGGAGACTGCAGGAACCAAAGAAACAGCAGTGGCAGTGCTGCTCGTCATCTTCCACACTGAAAACTGACCTGAGACAGCAGCCTTCTGCAAAAGTAACACGAGCTCTGCAGCTCTATTGCAGTCACCAACCCACAAGTAGTAACTGCCATGGAATCACTCATACACTCACTATCTCTAGTGTTTTGACTTCTACCATGCTGAACCAAGCCAACTGCAATACCGTTGTCAAGAGTGGTGCAAATCAGAGAATGAAACTTTCTCATCCGTAATTTCCATGGTTTCCTGTGCAGTTTCTGCTTTCTCAGGGAAAAGAGTCACCCAAAGAAACCTGCAAAACAGCATTACGGAGGAAGATGCACCTAGCCCACGGGTTTAGTGCGCTGCTTGGGATATTTTGCCCCCATGAGTCAGACATTATGTGCATTTGGACCTGTTTGAGATTAGTAGGAGGTGCACAGAGCCTGTCCTTTGATCCATACTCAAAGAGTAAACTTAAGCTATGTTAGGACATACAAAACAGAAGGAATAATAAAATACTCATGGAAAAGCAAGCAAAGGTCTGTTCCCACCACAAACATCACTCAGACAGGGAAGCAGGCACATCTTCGGACATGACAATGAACAAGAGGCAGGATAGGTCCTTGTACGAAGAATGACAAGCTTAGTTGTTCAATGCCAGCTGTACACCTGCACCAGTTTTGTGTCTGCTCCAAGTTGTACTGCCGAGCAGTCCTCTTGTACAGCTAAATGAAGGCTACTACAATTACTGAAGTTATTTAGTTGTAAACCCACAACAATCTTACTAAATATGGAGACAAAGACAAAATCAAGGATACTGGGAGCAAGTTCTTTAAACAGGAAGCATCTAATGTAAAATATCCCATAGTCTTTATGTACAAATGCAATACCAAGATATTATCGAGACCCGCACTAGTATTTTAAACACACACACGCAGCAATCAGTAACACAAAACCCCTGCCTTTGCTAACCCTTCAGCTCTGATACTGCCCTTACTAAGCTGCAGTACTTGGCACCTGCCATATAGTTGGAATCTAGGCAAGCTTTCCAAGTGTTGTAAAGACACAGATCCTTCACAGTGCACTATTAAGAGGAACAAATACATTTACCCTGCTTCAGCTTCCTCCCAACCTACCTACCAAAAACATTTGTCTCCAACAATTCCCCTGACATTCCCTTCTTGGAGCAGGAAAACTTCCAAGACCCTGAGTCCCTGTTGGAAGACCAAAGGAACTACCTGCCACCAGTTATTTCTAAGATACCCACAGGTCATGTGTCCCACATGCAGAGCACACACCCAGCTTTGCTGGAGAGCTCAAAGGGAAATAAAACCCCAGGCTTCCCCGGACAGTTGCTGCATACTGCCTCCCATCCTAACAAATCCCTGTGCAGGTCTGCTGTGGGATCAGAGGGAGGTACAGAAGCACTTCACAAACATCTGCTCAGCCATTCCTTTGTCATCCAGAGTACTGAAGCAAGGCAGGTAAGTGTTACAGGGCAAAACATTGTTTATAAATTGTTAGTAACTGTGATTCTTGTACAAAGTTATTCACGGATTATGTACAGGCAAAGAGGAGGGCTATGAACAAAGAAAATACTTTGGGTTTACGAAGGAGAGTCAGGGTACACAGTACTCGACATAATCAGCTGAGAGGAAAAGGTGTTAAACTGTTGTCATTAACACCTTATTAATTCAGGAGAAAAAAAAACCCACTGGCATTACAGTGACATTTTACAAGACATCACCTCTATCAGTCTAGGACTGTACATTTGTGATTCATATGGCTTCCAAGAACCTTGAACTTTTCATACAGTGGACAAGGAGCCCCAGTTAGAAGCAGGCAGAGCCGTGCTGAGGAGGGGAGTGGTTGGCTTCAAAGTCTCAGGAAGGATTTCGAACCTCTCAAAGGGCAATATTTATTTTGCTGCTGTTTTGTAGCAGGCTGAAGGCTCACAGCTCTGTGACCTGTTGCAAGACAAGCTATCCCCATTGCAAAGGTGACAAAACAAATTAGGAACTAGACTCAAGTTCAACAGCAGCTTCTCAAACACTTTCCCAGCATAACATATTCAAGTTTACCTACCTCAAACAATGAGCCTTGGTAGACACAGGCACCTGCAGGACAAAATTAAAAACATAAAGAGATTAGACATCAGCACACTCCCCAGTGAACCTGCCATGTGCTTGCCAGCAACAAAACAAATGGAGTTTTGATGCAGCAATGCAACCTCTGGGTAAGCTTCAGACTGCAGTGTCAGGGACTCTGGCCAAGGTGGACTCAAGAGTTGGAGAGCAGCACAAAGAAAGCAGAGATAAAAGGGGAGTCAAAGTAATGCAGCTAGTCTTCAAGAAGGGGTTAACAGATTACTCTGCAACACCTCACCAGACCACTGGCAAAGCTTTACAGCATCCTAACTGCAAGAAGTTGCCCAATCTTTCTCAGACAGAAGGCAAGGACACAGAAAATTAAAGAAAGCAGAAGAATGCAGGAAAACAGGGGCAGACACCAAACCTCACAAAAAAGCATGGCACCATCACCAATAGTCACCCACTTTTGAGCAGAGTTTGTATCACAACCCATTCCCACAATCACCTCACACTCTCTTTAGGACACATTCAGACATTTGGTGCCACTTGTGCAAGGGGCACATATTCTCTCCCCCCACTGCCACGAAGGCTGTCTCTGGTAAGATGGGAATTCTCACAACATACATGTAAGATGAAGCTCAGAACTGTAGCATTGAATAACTGCCTGAGCTCTCACTAAAATAACAGGAAGCCATGGCTATCCAAAGGTAAAATGTAGCCCTTAAAAATGCAAGGTTACAGGGCTTTTGAATCACAGCCTCTTCTATGTAATCTTGTAAATCCTTTTACATTTACAGGAGAAACAAATAAGCACACAATTATACACATGAAACCATTCTTTTCTTGTGTATAATCTTTTTCTGTGTATAAAAACAAGACTCTTCTGATGGTAAGAAAAGTCGGCATAGGTTCCCACCCCTAAATCACTCCTCCATGGGTCACGGGTCACATCTGATGTAATGACAGGCTCATGGGGCTCCTCCTGCTTCAGTTGTCCTAGTCCTCACCACAGACACTGCAAGCCCAGAAAATGGTTCTCCAAGTGAGTGATAGAGACATACACTCATTCAAGCATGCTTTATATATTCTACTTAATAAATCAAATCAGAGGTTAGAAAATAAATCCATGAATAAGCTGAATGACACTTCTTTCATCAATTTTCTGGGAAACAGCCCTCCTCAAACAGCTACACATATCTGTCTACTGAAAACGTGACAAGCATGTGAAATCAAAAGCAAACCAAGAAACTCAAAGATGAAAAGAAAATGAGAACGCAGGAAAAGCTGCCTCAAGGGACCACCCAGAGAACTAAGAATTTCCTCGTCCAACAGTGGTGTTTCCCACATAATGCAGATTAGACAAATTTGTACAGAAAACCTTGGAGCTACAGTTATGAATCAAAAGCTCCTCCTTCAAGCTGGTCTTCAGCTCAGCTGCAAGAGGCTGCAGAGGCACCATCGGGAATTACCTTTTCTTGCCAAGAAGATGAGCCACTAGAGCCCAATCATGCTGTTCTCAAATTCAGCAGCCACCTTTTTTCTCATGTTGACAGCAAGCAAATGGAGCACAGACTGAGCACCAAGAGGACCATCATACTGAAACACTGGGTTTCACTCTTACATCCACATAGTCCCACACACACCACCCCATAAACCATATGGCTAACCACTTCAGCAATTACCTGTTCATTTATTTACTTGGCATTTTTTGTAAACACAAACTGCTATGCAAAAAACCCGACACTTGACCATACCTGGACTTCATGTTACTGCACTGATTTTCAAATACCGACTATCTTCCTGCCCCCCACACTCTTCTTTTGGCAAGAGAGGATGATTTCAAGGTTCATCATTCAGCTGCACCTCAAAACTCAGGGCAAAACAAAAGGTGACATACTGTTGGAAGGCAGGGGAGGCATTATAACAGTCTTCCATACCTAAAGAGGGTCCACAAGAAATCTGGAGAGGGACTTCTGACAAGCGTATGTAGCCATAAGACAAGGGGGAATGCTTTAAACTGACAAAGGGGAGATTTAGATTAGACAGGAGGAAGTTCTTCCCTGGCGAGTGCCCTGGCACAGGCTGCCCAGAAAAGCTGTGGCTGCCCCATCCCTGGCAGAATTCAAGGCCAAGCTGGATGGGGCTTGGAGCAACCTGATCTAGTGGAAGGTGGTCCTGCCTGTGTCAGGGGGTTGGAAGCGGATGAGCTTTAAGGTCCCTTCCAACCCAAACCAGTCTGGGATTCAGGGGCGGGGGCAGGTGGGGGGTGAGGCAATATAACTAAATAAAAGCCCTACTTAATACTAGTTAGTTAAGACCAGCACAACTTGATTCATTTACTCCTAAAAAAACAGACTGGCTGCCCTTTCTTTTTTTGCCCACCTATAGCGACAGTTCCTTAAAGGTACCTATGGAATAAAGTAACAATGGTTTGACACCCTAAAACATGAAATATCAGAGCCCCCACTGAGGATCTGGAAAACTTAAAGGGACAAAGGAAAACTATCAGTACTAGAAAAAAAAAAATAAAAAACAAAAACAAAAACAACAAAAACCCAGCACTTCCTACTCTTGCTTCAAGAGGCTGTAATTACATCTTGGGCCTTCTGAGCCAGGCACTATAAACACAGCGTGAAAGAGCTGTCCTGTGCCAAAAAGCTCATCACTAGCAGGGCCAGAGCACAGAGTAAGGACCAAGGCAACAGGGGATAGCAGCTGCCTCAAACAGCCCAGGCAGGCAGCAGGAATGAGACAGACCTTCAAAATACTCTCTCTCAGCCTTCTGTGCTCCTTTCCTGCACTCAGTAGAGACAGGCTCCGCACAGCTCATGTGGGACTGGAAAACAAACACGGAAAGTCTGATTCTTCCTCTCCATTTAAGAAAAGACGTATTTTGCTCCCTCTTAAGTTACCAAGGGGGATAACTAGGATATAAGCCATCTTTACAGGACTTTGAAAATCCTTAGTTACAAATACCTTCTAGCTATCGTTTTACTCCCAACTGTGAGCGAGCCCAAGACATCATATACACGTTAAGCAACATCATTGTTTGTTACTGTGCCCTGACTTTGTCTGCAGCTCCAAGTCAACAGTGTGACCATCAGAGCTCACCTGAAATGGTTCCTCAAATGAGCAAATTGCCTTTCATGTACTGAAGAAGCGTGGATGAAATCCTCAGACTTTTAGTCATGGTATTTGTGTGCCAGGCATTGTGGATGCAGGTAGTTGGTAGGGCAGTGTTCTGATTTGGGGTTTTCTTGGGGTAAAAATTAAGTCTGAGTATTGCCCAACAAGTTAACATCTCAAATTCATATCTAACAGCTTCTCATCTCACACACATATAGCTATTTTTAACTGCTGCTATTCACCAAGACAACTACATCAAACAGGAATCACAGTGTTACAGTGGCAGCAGCATTTGGGGAATCTGCCACTTTGCAAGCCAACAACCTACAGTCACACTGTCAAAGGGAATGCTGGAAAACAACCTAAGAGCACAAATGTGGTCACCCTGCACTCCCAAACTTAAAACATCGTTAATGTCACTGCCTGACAGCATCCTAAGGGCATAACTTTGTGCTTTTTACAAGTCTGTCCAGAGCACTTTTTAAATGACAGAGGAAACCAATGGTCGATGCCTACTAAGGCGCTCTTGGAGCACTCAGAACAACATCCACACACACACCAAGGCGGACTCAGCCCTCTAAATCAAGGAGAGTAGACGGTCTCATCCATCAGCCCACATCACCTCTCTAGTTCGTTTCTGTGGGTTTGGACAACTAAAACCCACATCAGCCTTTTCGGGTAACTCCACGTTCAGCTTGGCACGGGGAATACCGCTGTCCTGGGCTGCCTCTCCCTCGGAGTGAAACGGTGCCGAGCATGAGGGGAAGCTCCGCAGCCCCCGCCCGCCCGGCTGCACCCCGGGGCTACCCTCCCGCTTCAGGGGGACACGCTCCTCCATCCCAGGCATTTCACCCCCGCCAGCCCTCAGCCTCTTGAGGGCACCAACAGCACCGCGGAGCGGGAAGAACAGGGGGGCAGCAGCAGGAGGTGCCGGGACCGGGCACGGCTTCACCCCGGCCCCCTCGCCCCGCCTGTGGCGAGGCCGCCAAAATGGCGGGGGACTGGAAGAGGACCCCCGCCCGGACCGGAGAGACGGAGAAGGGTGGGAAAGGTGCCCCAGATCCCCCGGGAGCGGGGGACTTCTCCTCAGCGGGGGAGCTCCGCTTCTCCTCAGAGCACCCGCGGGACGAGGACCGGGCCCGGCGCGACGACTCACCTGAGGAGGAGGCGGCGGCCAGCGCCACGCTGAGGAGGCACAGCGTCGCCCAGGCGGCGGCCGGGGTGCCCATGGCGGGCTGGAAGGGGAAGGCTGGCGATTCCTCCGACCCGCCGGCAGGTGCCGGAGCAGCGCCTCTGCCCCCTCCTCGCCGCCAAACTTTCCCCGCAGACAAAAGCGGCAGCTGCCCCGCAAGAAATGCTGCCCGAGCCCGCCCGCCTTCCGCCCCGCCCGGCCCCGCCTCGGGCAGCGCCGTACCCCGCCTCCCCGGCACCTTTGGCAGGGGGGAGCAGTCGGTGCTGCCCGTGCCCAGCCCAGCTCGTAACCCTCAGGTGGGGAAGAGGGAGCCGAGCTTCCTCCGCCTCGTGGGGACGCAGCAGCCCCCTGTGAAACTGCAACCTTTCCTGGCTGCAGCAGTGATCGTGTGTCCTGCGGCTAGGCAAAGCGGGGGTGTTTGCGTGGGAAAGCAGTGCAGGATAGAGAGTAACAGGGTTTCACTGCACGAGCAGCGGTTGGGGCTGTGCTGGTAGACACACCATGGGCTGCAGTGGAGAAGGCATCGTCTTAGAGGGGTAGGACACGGGGAAATGGCTTTAAACTGACAGAGGGAGATTTAGATTAGACATTAGGCAGAAGTTCTTCCCTGTGAGGGTGATGAGGTGCTGGCACAGGGTGCCCAGAGAAGCTGTGGCTGCCCCATCCCTGACAGTGTTCAAGGCCAGGCTGGATAGAGCTTTGAGCAACCTGGTCTGGTGGAAGGTGTCCCTGCCCAAGGCAGGGGGTTGGAACTGGATGAGCTTTAAGGTCCCTTCCAGTCTAAACCGTTCCATGATCTCTAGAAGTTTGAAGCTTTTCACTGTATTTGGGTCTCACTTCTGTTTGCAGGATTATAAAAACAGTGCAAAAGGGGCATGGTTTGTTTACTGAAAGGGCTGTTTTCTTGTCACATAGATACATATTGAAAGAATCTTTCAATTTCTTCCTTCAGTTTCAGTTCCTTCACTCTTCACCCGTTATATAGATTTCCTCTACAAAGGAAGACTCAAACATTAGCAATTGTAAATCAAGCACTCAAGCTAAGAAAAACTACCAAAACACTCCACAGAGCCTAGGTTCTACTCTTCCCACTATCATATGTTCTCCTTTCAGGCACTTCCTCACACACACACAGTTCCTATGGCACTTTCCAGCTCCAGGCCAGTCATTGAAAACTTACCATTCCTCACCTCCAGCACTGTACGCACCCAACATAAGATGCTGGAGCCAACTTTTCCAAGTACTTCTGCAATGATGGGTTCCTTCAAGTCACACAGTTAAAAAGCAGCCACGACTGTTGAAGTCACAGCCCTTCAGTTGCTACATGCAAAGGCCCAAAACCGAGATTAACTAGAAAAGTGATCCTAGTTTTACCAGTCTATGAAATAAATCTTTTTTTCCCAGCTAAATCCAACACTGCTGCTTCGTAGCAGTGTCCTGATTATCACATAACAGTCAGTGGTGCAAGGCTGGACCGCTGCAGCCGCTTAGTGTCTCAGTCTGACTGATTAAATGCAACTATGCCAGCTAAATTTAACAGTAATTCCTCATGGTAATTCAATCTGTTCAGTTTTGATTCCCTTTCTAATGAACACTACCACCTCAAACTCCGAGTTGGAGGTCAAATTTTTTCAGGATTGTACGCCATTAATTACTGTAGCCTAATTCAGCAACAAATGTAAGAAGTGGAGTGTGCGGTGTGGCACTGACCCAAGATTCAAACAGCAATTTGCATGATGAGTTGCTCAGTGCTTTTACCAAGTTAATGCTCATTAGCTATTAGCAGCAGGTACTTCTTATGAAAAAGAGGAGCAGAGAGACATAATAACTACCACTGCACACACAAACACTAACCAAACAAATATTTCATGCCAATTTTAAATATAGTAGAAATGACTAAAGGAATAAATACACAGGCTCTAGTTGCCTTCTAATTACTCAAGTGAAATTCAGGACAACACAACCAAACTCAAAGAACTAGCAAGGCAAAAGAGGCGGAAACAGCAGAAGCAGCCACGCATAAACAGGGTTCATTAAATCAATAAATATGGGAAGTCCAAGAGATGCCTGAAATGTAGAGGTACTCTTACACCAGGTGTATGTTCAACAACAAAACAGCAACTCAGCAGAACATTTCTGGTCGCTTCCTCCATATAACAATCTCGCCAAAATGCACTGCTTCTTTGAAATGACCACCCCAGAGCCGCCTGGCTCTTGGCTTTGTATATATACCTGCAGAAACTCAGCTCTCTCACATCTGCGTGATTACGGCACTGCAGGAGAACAGCTCCAAGAGACAGCATCATCTACTGAGATAAGGTATTTCTGAATGACACCGCTCCACATACCAGCTGAAATGAAAATTTATCATCTGCTCACACTCTGTGTGAGATTGTGATTCTTACCAGTGGATTAGCAGAAGCAAGATAGAAAGAGACAGAAATAAATGACTATTAAAGAACAGCAACTGTACCTGGGAGGTGAGTTTCCTTGGTTTTCTCCTTTCACATGTGTCACTGATGTGTTCAGCTGCACACTTGCCTATAGGCCCAGAAGTTGCACGCCCTAATAGGCCTAAAAGTCTTTAAGAAGCCAAGGGATTGAAGAAAGAAGTTCAGGAGACCTCAAAGTCAACCAAGGCAGCTCCATAAAGCATGTGTTAATAGCCTGCAGGCAAAAAAACATGAAGATCCAAGCTGAGCAGCAGGAGATGTGTGATCCCTGAGGGAACCCATTCCTACACAAAGATACTTGAGACAAAAACACAAGTCCTGGAGCAACACAGGACAGCAAAGGTTGAAGTCAATTCCTTTCTCTCTCACTAATGCACCCATACAGAGAAACAAAGCACTTTGTGAGAATTCACACCATTATAATCTCACCAGACCTGAAAAAAACGATTTTCCACCACATGGACAGAACAGGTATTTTGCCACTATCTGTTAAGGCAGATGGTATTACAGGTTTAAAATCATTTGAGATGACCCTAAGAGTACCTTACATTAACACTGTTCCAAAGAACCTGCTGAAATCAGAACAACTCAAAATCTATGATCTATATAATTTTGGAAATTTACCCATTCCATTATATCAGTGAAGATCTTTTCCCTCTGGAAAACAAAATACGCATTTAGAAGAAAATATTTCTCAAGTTTAGCACCAAGGTCTCCCACACCATTTCAGAAATTCAAAGTTCTGTAAACTCTTGTCCCTCACATACTTCTTCTTTTTTAAATTCCCAATTCAATACAAAAGCAGCATTTGTTTTGAGTCTATTTACAAGTTATCAAACAAAATAACAAAATAAGCTTCAGACTGTTCAGAGAAATACGAGATGATTCTAAGACTGAAAACCTGAACAGTGCATCTTGCAAAGCAATGACCCAGCTGTTAACTGCAGCCATATATCTTGGAACTAGTGGCACAAAAAGCCAACAAGGTTGTAGGAATAAACCATTTTTAGCCATTCTTTTATCAAATCTGTAGGCAGAGGTCAGGTTTGGGCACATTGACTTTAAGGATCTGCTTCTCTGTTGGCATGAAAATCACTGGTTTGAGTGATCCCAGTCAGACATAATTTATATTCCTTCAAGGCCAAGCATGTGCTGGTGCAGACTTATACAGAATAGCCCAGGAAACATGAAGAAGATTTATCTCATTTAAACTCTGCTGGCTGAGGTCTCAGAAAGGTTTTGAATTTCTTGGAATTTAGCCCATGTGGTCCATACTTCAAACTTCTGGTGGAAGTAAAGAAAACTCTGTAAAGAAAAGTAAGGGTAAAGGAAGCAACAGCTAGAAGTACAAACAATCCACAAACGACAAAGTTGTATTGTACCTTCTTCCCTTCCCTGGAGTTCAAAAGTGCACACCAGATGCAAGTCTCCTAACCAATATAAACAGCAAAACCAATCCATCTCTGATAACACTGCTCCTCTGAATTCCAAGCAGCAAACCCTGTCAAAGTTGAATGAAAATCTCTACCGGTGGATGTTTTGTTTGGCACAGAACAATTAACATGCTGGAGGCTGCAACTGTGCCTTAAGTAATTCACAGTTCTCATATGAAAAGTAATTAAATGCCATGTAAAGCAGCACAAACTTTCTGGGAGAGGACTTAACACTCATTACCTAATGTGTCAAGGCACTGTCATTGACTAGAAGCTTGGCTTGACTTGACTGTCTTCATGGCTGGTTGCAGAGGGTATATTGTATTACCCGGAAGGATGAAGGATTTATTTCTTTAATTAAAAAAAAAAAAGAAAAGAAAAAAAGAAAGGACTTTTCCTAATCTAAGTGTGAGATCAAGCACTGAATGGGTTTTATCTGGCCACAGAGAAAACAACTTCCTTCTGTTATAACCTGATGCTGTGATAAGGTATAAGATTAAATTCTCCCTCATGCTGCACAAAGCCTGATACAATACATAGTCCAAGATGACTATGGTGTATCTCAGTCTTTTGTCAGAGGTAGGCTCAACTGCTTTATTTACCAATACGTGTATGTGGAAAGGACAGATGTGTTTTTAACATGATGCCTTTAACTTGCTTTTCCAGGGTTACTAATTTGACCTTCTCCCCATTTGGTCAATCTCTCTCAGAAACATTAAAATAGGCTTTTAAAATACCAAGCTCACTACAGACACACACT